CCATCTTTGGGCTTTGTAGGTCTTCCAGCCTTTGGCTCCAGGGTCTTCATACCACTGCCTTAAATGGGCTGGTAGAGGAAACTAGGCCTACACTCAATTCTGGGTTTCAGCCCTGGAACTCTGTATGAAACAGAGAAGGTCTCTTTCTTCAGACTTTCTACTGTATCCCTGCATTACTTCCTACTGTTACCCACAGCCTCTCACAGCCTCTTCCTGGGCTGACTCTTGCAAAGATCCCCCAAATTGGGGAACAAACTAGTTATGCAGAACAAAAGAAACAGAAGGTCCCACACCAGGCCTACCAGTCCCAAAGACACTGTGACACCCAGGAGTCTCTAGTTAGTCCCTAGCCTCAACCAGGCCTGGCTTTCCTTCACAGGACTAGCTCAAGAGGTCCAGTCTCTCTCCCAATCAGCCAGAAGTGAGCTGGACTTTTCCGCTCCTCCCACCAGACTTGACACCTTGCACAGACGTAATGGGGTAGGGCTAATTGGATCCACAGGTTCTCATTAACCCCTTCTTGGTCAGTGTAGGGTCTGTATTCCCTGTCACAAGATAGAAAATACAGGTGATATGTTGACCATAAAAAGAAATAGCTCAAAGTATTTTTTAAGAATTTATCCTTGCACCATGAAAAATAATCCATAGAGAATGTAGTATGGGCAATTTTATAGGCCTATTTTTACTACTATTGTGAATATACATTTTCTATTTAGTTTTTCTAACATTTTTCTCTCCCTGTTTCAACAGGGTTCCTGGTTTATTTGAGCTCTTTCTTCCTGTATCTACCAACACAAAAGCCTGAAGTTTGCAATGCAGTTTATGGGATTAAAAAAAATTTATCCCCCTCTTTATTGTAAAAAAACAAAAAAAACAAAAACAAAAAACAAAAAAAAACCTACTTGGGAAATATTTAGTTATCTCAATTGCTGTTTGAAATATGAAATTAATTTAAAGGGACATGGACTTCAGTGGGGCCAGGGTTTCGTCCAACACGTTTAAAGGAGAGTAGGTATGAGGGGAGAGGAAGAGGCGAGAGAAACAGGAAAGATACAGGATTGGCTTGTCTCCACAGGAAAATCTTGTAATACTTTAAGAATAGGAGGAATCATTAATAATATTTTCCTCCCTCACAACCCCATTATTGGGGGAAAGATTTTCCTGTAACATTTGATGATATGGTCCCAACTTTTTTCCAGCTCAGCTATGTCAGTCCAGGGTGTGATTGGTGACCGACACAGAAGGTCCAAGTGTAGATACAGTTATAATGACAAATGTCACATATCAAAGTAGGACTCAAAGCATGAAAACCAACAAAACCAACAGTCTACATGCGTGTCTCACCTAAACTGTAGGAAGACCTAGCTTATCCCTAATACGCTGACATCTGGGTTTGGTTGGGGTCAGTCTGCCCCCATGCAGTCCCTGCCTTACTTTCTCCTCTGTGTCCAGGACCTCCATTTTTAAACATTGCCATGACATTTGTTTTAGTTTCCTCCCTGGATTTCCCGCACCCCTGTACCAAGCCACCTGTTGAACTCAATGTGGCGCGAAGTAAACTTCAAAGGGATTGTGACCTGTATTGTCCTGTTAAATATTGGGGAATGGTGCTATATGAAATTTATTGTATCCCTTCCTGGCCTGCCTGCTGTCTTTTCCTGTTGGTACCATGGTCCCATTTTAATCATACAGTGTCCAACAGCACCACAAACAGATATATTCATAAAACAATATGGGCATCTTCCATCTCTCTCTCTCTCTCTTTTTCACACATGCACACATACACCTCCCGACCTACAGTAAATTTGTTGGGTATGTATGACTTCATTGAGTTTATATAATGTAATATACAGTAGATGTTTAATTTTTAGGAAAAGTTAATTGGGAGACGAATAAGATACTAAATTGCTTTTAGCCCATAATATTTTCACATAGAGAAGATTTGCTAAAATTGTGAACAGAACAGAAAGTTATGCAAACCATCAGAGAGAAAATTATGCAAAACACGTTCTTTTGAATTAACTGTTATACTCAAGGGTATAATACACCTGCTGAATATTTGATGACAGGGTTATTATTTTTAGATTATATTCTAACAATGACCATTTGTGTTGCTGATTTTTTACCTGAAAAAAATGACTTGTTGAACTACAGTACTGTACTACTTCTGGTTTGGTTTGAAAATGTGGACACATGGGAGCAGCTGCAGAAACTCATAAATTATTATTTCATTTTACTTTGACAGCTGGAGCATAAAATGTGAGTTCTACCTAGCTGTGTCTGACATTCTGAAATGTAAAAATGCAAAGTCACCTGAGAAACCACATGAAAGGAACCCCACCACCTTAAAACTGAGTTTATTAAAGGACTTTGACGCTCCAAGCATAAGCTTATTTGAAATCTCTTGTTGCCTGTGATGGAAAAGCAGTGCTGTCAGGCTTTTTGGTGGAAAGGTGAAAGTTTCACACAAAGCTGCTCTGCTATTCTGGGTCCTCCTTTCTAAGATGTAGCATGTCACTTTAATGCTATATATATTTTGTTATGAGAAAAATGTCAGGAAGAGAACCAGTGTTTATGAGCGCTAAATTGTACTGCATCTACACTTGGACTTCTTGAAAATAACAAAATTAAGAAGCAAAACAACTAAATTCACTCCCTTGAGATCAGGAATGCCCAAAGATCTGTACCTCTGTGAAAAATTGAAACTTGGTGGTTTCAATCATTAGGTTGCATTTATCTAAGTAATGTGTTTTACAAGGAGAATATACAACTTGGAATATTTATTTTTCATTAGCAAAGTGGTGATCAATCGATGAGGACTGAACTGTGTTAATGGAACATAGTGAGGAGGAGTACACTGCCACACTGTCCCACCGGGAGAACTGGGAAGCAGAATGCCTCCCAGAGCACCCCTTCCTGGGGTGAAGCTCTCTTCCCCACATTGTGGGTGTAACATTCCCCTGGTGTTATCTGGACTGGTGATCTGCTAGGTCACTCTAATCCTTGACTCCGGGAGCCAGCCTTACCCTGCTCTGCTGTGAGAACACCCACTCCTGGGCTGTTCACGCACAGTCTCTGGCAGTGGATCTAATTTACTTAGATTTCAGTAAGGCATTTGATAACGTTCCACATGGGGAATTGTTTAGTTAAATTGGATAAGATGGGGATCAATAGGAAAATTGAAATGTGGATAAGGAATTGGTTAAAGGGGAGACTACAATGGGTCCTACTGAAAGGTGAACTGTCAGGCTGGAGGGAGGCTACCAGTGGAGTTCCTCAAGGATTGGTTTTGGGACCAATCTTATTTAATCTTTTTATTACTGACCTTGGCACAAAAAGTGGGAGTGTGCTAATAAAGTTTGCGGATGATACAAAGCTGGGAGGTATTGCCAATTTAGAGAAGGACAGGGATATTCTACAGGAGGATCTGGATGACGTTGTAAACTGGAGTAATAGGATGAAATTTAATAGTGAGAAGTGTAAGGTCATGCATTTAGGGATTAATAAGAAGAATTTTAGTTATAAGCTAGGGATGCATCAATTAGAAGTAACGGAGGAGGAAAAGGACCTCGGAGTATTGGTTGATCATAGGATGACTATGAGCTGCCAATGTGATATGGCCATGAAAAAAGCTAATGCGGTCTTGGGATGCATCACGAGAGGTATTTCCAGCAGGGATAAGGGGGTTTTAGTACCATTATATAAGGCACTGGTGAGACCTCACCTGGAATACTGTGTGCAGTTCTGGTCTCCCGTGTTTAAGAAGGATGAATTCAAACTGGAACAGGTACAGAGAAGGGCTACTAGGATGATCCGAGGAATGGAAAACTTGTCTTATGAAAGTAGACTCAAGGAGCTTGGCTTGTTTAGCCTAACTAAAAGAAGGTTGAGGGGAGATATGATTGCTCTCTATAAATATATCAGAGGGATAAATACCAGAGAGGGAGAGGAATTATTTAAGCTCAGTACCAATGTGGACACAAGAACAAATGGATATAAACTGGCCACCAGGAAATTTAGACTAGAAATTAGATGAAGGTTTCTAACCATCAGAGGAGTGAAGTTTTGGAATAGCCTTCCAAGGGAAGCAGTGGGGGCAAAAGATCTATCTGGCTTTAAGATTAAACTCGATAAGTTTATGGAGGAGATGGTATGATGGGATAACATGGTTTTGGTAATTAAATATTCATGGTAAATAGGCCCAATGGCCTGTGATGGGATATTAGATGGGGTGGGATCCGAGTTACCCAGGAAAGAATTTTCTGTAGTATCTGGCTGATGAATCTTGCCCATATGCTCAGGGTTTAGCTGATCGCCATATTTGGGGTCGGGAAGGAATTTTCCTCCAAGGCAGATTGGAAGAGGCCCTGGAGGTTTTTTGCCTTCTTCTGTAGCATGGGGCACGGTTCACTTGCTGGAGGATTCTCTGCTCCTTGAAGTCTTTAAACTACGATTTGAGGACTTCAATAGCACAGATATAGGTGTGAGGTTTTTTGCAGGAGTGGTGGGTGAAATTCTGTGGCCTGCATCGTGCAGGAGGTCAGACTAGATGATCATAATGGTCCCTTCTGACCTAAATATCTATGAATCTATGTAAACTGCTCTTTGGACTGTGCAACCGAATGATCCTAGCCAATATCTCCAGTCCCAGACACAACCCTCGTAACCTCCATCTTTCAGTGTCCAGTTATGCCCGCTGGACACTGCAAGCTTATATGAGTTCATCAATTTAACAAAGAAATTGATATGTACTAGGCTTGTTATCCTAAAGGGAGTCTCTGGCACACTTCAAACCAAATGCACTGCTTCAAGTAGAATAAACAAAGATTTATTAACTATAAAGATAGATTTTAAGTAATTATAAATCAAGGCATAACAAGTCAGATTTGGTCAAATGAAATAAAAGCAAAATGCATTCTCAACTGATCTTAATACTTTCAATGTCCTTACAAACTTAGATGCTTCTCACCATAGACTGGCTGGTTGCCCTTCAGCTAGGCTTTCCCCTTTGATCAGAGCTTCAGTCACTTGGTGATGGTGTCTATAGATGGAAGTGGAAGAGAGAAGAAGAGCATGGCAAATGTATCTCCTTTTTATCATGTTCTTTCTTCCCTCTTGGCTTTGCCTCCCACCCACTTCAGATTCAGGTGAGCATACCTCATCGTAGTCCCAAACTGACCAAAGAACGGAGTGTGTGGGGGGTTTGACTCACTCAAGAGTTCAACAGATTCTTTGTTGTTGCCTAGCCAAGTGTCCTTTATTCCTGTGAGGCTGGGCTGGGTTTGTCCCATACATGCCCTGATAAGGTGTGAACTGCCCCCTTCTCTTGGAGAGTTTTTGCCTGGGCTTGTTTTAAGCCATGAGGACACAATTTCAGCCTCATAACTATATACATGAAATTACAACCTATAACAATGCTCAGTGCATCATGAGCCTTCCAAAGACACCCAACATGACAAACTTTGCATTGGATACCACACAATCATATTATAAGGATGAACATGGGGTGCAGGGTGTTCCCCCGAGGTACAGAATGTCACAGAGGGCCATCTGTGCAGGCTGATGTGTAAGGGACAAAGCCATGATTTTGTATTCTCTCAGCCCCCTTTTGGCCACCATGTGCGACATTTTATGCATATTGTGCAATACATTATTAGCATGCTTGTAAATTGTTTGATAACTTTCAGATAACCATACACTTCCTTTTTTTAAAAGTGTGTGCTGGTCACGCTGAAGAAAAGCAGAGAGGCAGTAGTGACAAGTCACTGGGTTTGTTCACAGGATTCCCCAGAGTGGTTGGAACAGGTATGGGAAAGTAGGACTTTATTCCTTGCAGCCCTCAGTGTGACAAAGCTCTGTCCTTGTCTCCGTGGGTCCCACATTTCCTGGCAGATTTTGCTAGCCTCAGAGGCTCACTGTGACCCTCCACATAACCCTTCTCTCTCTAGAGACAAGGGTCACAGTCTGCTGAGCCATTTTCATCATAAGCCAGCAAGGGAGGTGAGGAGAAGTTATCCTCTCTTGCACAGTCTCTGTTGTCTCCCAGCCTCAGTGATTAATCGGGGGGGGGGCAAAAGGGGGAGCCCGGGCCCACCCTCTACTCTGGGCTCCAACCCAGGGACCCTAATAGTGTCAGCTATGGTAGCTGACCTTTTAGAAACATGACACATACAATTCCCTGGGCTACTTCCCCACAGCAGCCCCCACTTCCTCAGGCTCCACTTCACCCTTACCTCAGGGCCTCCTTCCTTGTGCCTGATATGGTGTGTACTGTTCAGTCTCTCCAGCAACACGACTTCCTCCTACAGCTCCTGACATCCACACCCACCAGACTAACTGGGAGGCTTTTAACTAGTTTCAGCCAGTCCCTGATTGGCTTCAGGTGTCCCAATCAACATAGTGTTCTCCCTGCCTTCTGGAAAGTTCTTAATTAACCCCAGGTGTCTTAATTGACCTGGAGCAGCTGCCATTTAACTTATCCTGGTCCTAGGGATTTATTTAGCCTGCAGCTAATATATCTATCTCCCACTACTTTTCTATAGCCATCTGGCCTTGCCCTGTCACATCAGAAACAGGTTCAGAGTACGTGAGGAACCAGTAGCAGCATGGGGAAGCTAGGAAGCCTCAGAAGAGTGTAGTTGTTGGCCAGGAGAGAGCCTGGGGATTATTGGAGTGAATCCGGGGAAAGGGGTTACTACAGGGTGGCATTAAACTCATTAGCCTGTTCCATCATTAACTTCTGATGCCACACTGCTACCCTGTTAGTGCCTACTTTCATGCTAGGCTCTACTCCCACCTTCTTTCTCTGGGCTTCTGTTTCCCCTGTCCCCACAACAACTGCTGCTCCTCCTAGTTCTTCTTTAGCTCCTGGCTCTTGTCCCTTCTTCCCATCACAATCTCTCTTCCCATCTCTGTGAGGCACTGATGACAATACCTCTGCTTCCTTTGCTGTCTGCTGCTGCTTCTGTAGGCTGAGAACCAGCAAGGGTAGCAGAAAGCAGCAGAGGATGTGTGCTCAACTTGCCCCACTGTTGTGATTAGCAAGATGCTCCTCTTTGCCCAGAGTCCAGCTGAGGCAGGTCTGAGGAGAGGCATGAGGGGAAAGCCTGAATGCATGAGCATCATATGAGATATTTGACACTTGGCAGATCTGCACGTACACACAAGGGATCCTAGATAGCATTCAGCATGTCCCACATTGCTGAAAAGAGGAAGTATGATTGATATGTAGTAGACACACTTTATTCAACCCATTGAGTCTCATTCTGAGGATCCTGACCTACCCGGCTGAAGACATCATACACATGCCATATGTTAGTACAACTGATATAGAAATGATTTTTTGCTTTCCACGAGATTCCCTCAGAGAAGATATTGAGCAGTGCGGGGTTTGTGGCATTTCCCCATCATTCTTGGCTGGAGCCTGATGCACCAAGTCATTTTCTCAATGCAATCTCCTTTGATTGGATTTCCACGCTAATTATGTTTTCATTCTTCAGCTCCCTATATTTTTATTGGTACTTTTATTGCATGACAAACATATCTGCTCATGCTGTTTTAATTCTGTATTGTATCCACCGTCACAGAATTCAGATGATGGGTTTTGACTGTATGCTAGATTAAATTTTCACATTTGATTCTGTGTGTCATTGGGACCACACAAAATGCCAGCAAGATAAGAGGAAAAATTGAGCTGTTCCTTAAGGACAGACAGGATATTTTTCATTATCTGATAATGGTCCTTGTGCTACCTTTCTCTTGAGCTAATGTAATCAGCTTAACCTATGGCATTCTAGTCAATATTTATGTTTAGGAAATTCGTGCAAAGAATTCAGGATAAGGAGGAATAGTTTGGGTCTATAGCTTTGCAAGGTTTGTGACAAACTAATGGAGAGTCTAAGGGAGCAAAAAACTAAGAATGATCTTTGGTAGTAATGTGGGAGTCTTTCACATATTTCCCCCCCAAAGATATTCTCTGTATTGCATTTTGGCCAAGCAAGGAAAGAACTATTACAATCATGCATATTGCAAATCCAGCAGTATTTCTGAGACCTGGTTCTCTATACATTATTTTAATCTGAAATGTTTTGGGAAGAATGTTAGCTTTATGTATGACTCCTTTAACCTTCTCAAGAGCACTCATTGATGGCATTAAATGTAAACAGTGTGAAAAGAATAATAGTACATAGGTGCTGTTTCCTTAAAGGACCAAAATGAGAAAGGATAGATTAGTATAAACTGTGTTCTATAATTATGGATTTAGACTGTCAGTTTTTGTGCAAGCTCCTTTATGAACTGTACTTATGGACCAGGTACAACTGCATTTCCCATGCTAGAGCTCCCCCATGTTTCTTGCAGAGCACAAATCACCCCAAAGGAAATGAGGTGGAGAGAAACAATGGGATCTATGACACTGTGCACTGGGAGGGTCAGTCTGAAACAGGCCTTGGTGGACAGTCACCAGCTGACCGAGCTAAGCTGCTTTAAACTCTGACAGAGCTGCGGCAAATGTGAAACTGACCAGAGAAATCAGGAAACTGAGATTAGCCCCTGATTGCTTTTGCCCCCCAACTTGATGCAGCAGAGAATCTAGGCTAGACATTTTGTGAGATAATCATCATTGGAGAATGTCAGCGCAGCACAGCTTCTCCAGCATATCTTGGAAAGGGAATTATCTATAGCAGGGATGACAAGCTCATTCAAAGGAGAGGGCTGGATTCCATATTTAATTGTGGTTAGTGGGGCAGGATATAAATTCAGGACTTCATGCGCCCCTTGTCCAGAGCACCTATCCCTCTGATGTCAGGAGGAGTTTTGCAAATATACCAAGAGGAGAATTCTGACTTTATATAAAACTAAAGTTATTTATTCTGTATCTTGTTACATTCATGATCATGTACTTCCGCAGGCCACTACTACTTCTATCCTGTGTTTCCCTTCCTTTGTCTATTTCTCTCCCTCTTTTCATGTCTCTTCTGTTCTTCCCTTTTCATTTCTTTCCCAATACCCACCACTTGAGAGTTTCACTTTCACCTTATTTTCTCTTCTGTGTGCTAAAATAATCAGCAGTGACATATCCAGTGGTGACACTGAAGGGGACAGGGGAATTCACCCTCTTGAATCATTTTTCCAGGCTACCTGCAGACTTAGGCAAACATTATGAGTGAAACCCTTGAAGACAACGGTAGTTTTGTATACTTTATAGTCATTTCTTCTCTGTGAGATTATCTTTGCTGCCTCAAGGGTTAAAAACATACTTCTTTAAAAATGAAAGTTTATGTTTTTCTCACTCTGATTATGTAATCCAGACAATATAGATATGGCACACAGGCCTGTTTCATCTGCTCAGATGGTTATTTAACAACAGTCTATTGTATTCAGTTTCCTAAGAGTTGCATTCACCAGTGTAAAGAGTTGTATATTCACTTTTTAGTGTTATAAAGAGTTATAGTATGCTTGCTTTTCTCTCCTCTTCCCACTGCTGTCCCATATCTCCACTGCTTTTTTAAAAAAAGTAATAGCGAGTGATTTATTAATTCCCCTAAAGTACAAGTATGGACAGAAAAGTGATATTGTGGGGTTTAAGTTCAGCTCTAGCACTTCTGTGAACATTCTTCTGAGATGAGACCTTATACTTGAAAGTGCTCATCCTCAGCCAATCAATCACTTATCTGGCACCACATGTCCATTTGTCCCGAATCCAGGATACTCCTGGAATCATACTCTGTGTGTTAGCTTCATCTTTCTCTAATCATGATGACATCTCACCCAGGGCATAAACTGCACAGATCCTATGCCCTTAGACAGTAAGGATAACTATTTAATATCACCTTTACACCTAAAAAAAATGAAACAAATACCAATCAAAACAGCAAAACTTAAAACTCAGTACGTGGAATTATGGGTAAACAAGATGGAAATGGAGCTGGCCAGACACAGCTTTTTCCCCTTCTCCCTAGTACAGAGAGCTCCATCCTTTTAGATCTTCTGGCCGTGACACTTGTACACAGTTTGAACACAACTCGGAGTCATAATTGGTTT